ATGTTTGCGTCACACATTCAGCTCCTCCTGGAAATATCAGGAGTTTTTCGGAGTTTTCTGCAAGTGTGAAAGCCCTATTAGTCAGTCGCATTCATTCAAGAAGACAATCAACTTTTATGCTATGTTTCGACAGCACTGAATCCCTTTTTTTCTTGTGGGTCCTGGGCAGTCTCAGCTTCTCTTATATATATATATATATATATATATATATATATATATCTCTAAGTACGGGGCGGGCTGCAAGGAGAGAGGTTGGGAACCACTGACCTGGTATAAAGAGGATCAAAGACCAAGAAAAACTGCTTTCATACCATAAAAAACTGTGAAGAAAAATACATTCTTCAAACCAATGCTACCTGAAAAATCACAAAGCCCTCTTAGGCTTATTTCCAAATGATGTTTAAGGAAATGTAGACGGAAGCTGTACCATCTATAGGCAGACTAACAAAGTGCATTTGGACTGACTGTGTTGAAGCCTACACACCCATTCTGCCTCAAAGACATATTTGTAAAGCAAAAACTCAAATACCACTGTCCACCAAATAAATAATATCCCGAGAATGTCACAGATTTGATTTTAAAACAAGACTCATTTTACCATCTTGAGTCCACTGAGCTAATTTTTCAACAAACCATTGTCCATAAAAATAGAGTGTGTTATTGAGGGTCCGACTGATTCAAAGCTGTAGCCTCTCATCCATTCTGCAGCGGCCTTGGGAGAGAGATTTTATGATGAAGGGAGGCAGGGACTTCTCCTCATTCTCAACACCAACACAACCTCATACACTCTCATCGTCACACACTTCATGTATTACTGGTTACCACTCTCTGTCTCTCCCTTCCCATCTTTTTTTCCACTGGTCATTACACTGTTTCATGATTTCTTGGTCACTGTAGAACCTTCTCTATTTTCAATTTTGGTTTCAGGCTCCCCCCCCCACCACACACACACACACACCCTCAGATTTTTTTACTCATCTCTTGTCCCAAGACAATTTTTCTGCCCATTTCACTCTCTTATCTTCTTCTTGATTGTTCAACCACATTCATCTCTCTCTCTCTCTCTCCACCTCATCCCTCCCCCACTTCACTCTGCCGCCTGGCTGTAGGTTAGCTTGTATGTACTGGTGGTGATGCTGGTAGTGGAAGAATGGAAAGGATGGAAAAAAAAAAAGGGAGGTGGAGGGAAGAGGCCGTGGGGGGGGGGGGGGTGGTCCTTCGGTGAACAGGGGGTTGCCATGGAAACAGGCAGAGCCAACCAGTAACAGCAGTACTCGTAGCGGTTAGCCGTATAAGGCAATCTGGTGGAAAGGAGGAAGTGGGATTCATCAATCCAATTCTCGCAGGAAGGAGTGCTGAAGAATAATTCTGGTGCTGCAGTTTTGTCCACTAACAAACTAAATTAATAAATTCATATCGGGAGATGCAGAGGGAGCTGGGGTCCAACTTGAGGATGTGCACATAATTAATGCACACTCAAAACTGATGACACTAGTTTTAAAAAAAAAAAAACCTACACATGCAGTGAAATCTAAAAAATAAAAACTAACCATGCACACTTGGCAGCGTAACATAAAGATACATATACTACGTGGGCTTGATGTTCTGTGTGTGCACATTTACAGATGAATGTGACACAGAGAAAGAGCTAAGCTAAGCAATACTCGATGAGTGGCACACAATGAAGCTGAATAAAATATGGAGCACACACTCTCCTCTCTCATCCTCTGTTTGTTCTCAATCTGAAGCCACTTCATCCTTCTTTTCTTCTCCCTTTTACGAATAGACACTCACATGCACACACACCTTCACAAACACACACAGCTCACACACCCATCTGGCTCTCTGACGCTCTTTATTCGAAAAAACGATCAGACAGAATAAAACGAGTCATAATACAAACTACTGCAGAAACAAGCTTCATCACAAGAGCTCAAGCTGTAAGTCAGTGTATTGTAGGGTGGATGTGAGTGTGTGTGTGTGTGCTACAGTATAGCAAGTAAGCTGTGGCTGTCTCCAACAGACAGTCCATTAGCATCAGCAGGCCTCTCTGACTCATTGTGATGCTACAGGAGCTAGGGACGCACGCTGTGACTGCAAGTACAGGCGCCCACACACACAGTACACATCAATACAAAACAACAGCACACAAACATGAATGAACCCAAAGACACAGAGATCCTTTAAACACACTCAAAAGTGATAAACACCAAACAAGCAAACACTCAAAAGCACAAGTTTTTAAAGAGGCAGCAGCTCCTCAACATAGAAGATAAAACAAAGACTGTTTTAGGTGATTTATCAGTGTGTTCAAGTCACGACGCCGGAGGCTGATTCCAGCGTCTTTTAATAAAGCTGAGATATTCTATGTTTTATATCATTTTCATATGACAATTTTTGGGAGCAGTTTTGGGATGATGGTTAAAAACAAAATTTTGAGATGTCTCCTTGCGCTCTAAAGATGGTAATGATTAGACTGAACAAGCAGGGTGTCAGAAAGTGAGTTTTACATAACAATCAATCTGAATATGTCATGAGAGGAGAGGAGAGGAGTGGAGAGGAGAGGAGAGGAGAGGAGAGGAGAGAGGGAGAGGAGAGGAGAGGAGAGAGAGGAAGCAGTATCAAGGGAGGGGGGGTTTTCTTTTTTTTTGTAATGCTGGTTTGGGGACAGAGAGGGGAGCAGACATCCAACCGTCCCAATTATAGATATCTTAGGTCTGAGTAAACACGGACCATTAAAGCCGAGCCAAATACACACTCCTTAAAAGCGAGGACCAGTCAGCACTCAGCAGGAGATGTCTGTCTGTGTGTGTGTGTGTGTGTGTGTGTGTGTGTGTGTGTGTGTGTGTGTCTGCATGCTGCTGCTCAAGCAGCCCACATTTCCTGTGTACGTGTGCACAAGTGTGTGTACTCAATTATCCTGTAGAGAAATAAATGGGATGGAGGGAGAAGGGGAAGAGGAGGGAGAGAAGGAGATGAGGGGGGAGAGTGCCGGAGGGAGATGTTAAATTGATCCCTATCCAGCAGTTTTGGAGTTATCTGGAAAAACGTCATGTGTTTGTGTTAGAGGTGCACATGTGTGTGGAGGAGTGATTTAAGCCCGGCACAGCAGGGAATCTGCCATTTCTCCAAACACACATCGGCACAATGGAGCAGAGCTGGTGTGAGCCTAATGGTTATGGACACAAACAATTAGACTCCCAAACTGAACCAGCTTCAGCTGCAAGTGTGAGTTACACGTGTAACCCTACTCCGCAGCATTTCAAAGACGTCTTCTAACTGCATCAATTCTCAAAACTGCGATGTGGGATTTATCATGAATACAAATCTGTTTGTTTTTCACTCTATAGCTGTATTCAAATATGCTGTCCTGAAAAGAATTTCAGGAGAACTGCCCCTTGAAATCCTCTTGATCTGGTTGTTCACACATGCAACTCACAGCGGCAGACTCTCCCTGTCGGAAGGCAGGGGGGGGGGTCTCCTGAGGCAAGACATGACGTAAAAAGAATGACATGTAAGTGGCCGACGAAGCAACAGAGTCCACTGTACAACTCTATAATGAGTATATGTGTCTTTATATCAATGCTATGTGTACTTACACAGAATCACAATATCAACAAAAGAGAGGAAGATAACATGCTGGTGAACAGAAACCATAATGCAGCCGTTTGAGTACATGTACAGAGACGGCAACGGTCGTGTGCGTACATGATACAGTCCATGGTTGTGCCCCCTCGCAGGGAATCTACATCCCTTCTCACTAGCTCGAGGTGAATTCTCCTGATTATATCCTGCTGCATTCTTACATCCGTTCAATCGAGCTTCATGCAGGGAAAATACTAGAGGGTTGGCAGGAGAAACTCCAGATAAAGTCTGAGTGAAACATTTGACTATTTGTGTTCACACATGCAGCTCACCCTGAAATTTCACCCGGAGTATTTCAAGTGTTAAGTGCAGGTATGAAAAACGCTTAACATTCAAAAGATCATGAGTGCTGCTTATTCAAACCCAATCTCAACATGGTGATACTGTGTTATGGCTAAAGTAATATGCCATAAATAATAATATGAAATCCTCTATTGAGAAAATCCTCTTCCTTTTTAGACGCTGTCACAGTAACCATTCTCTTTTTATAAAGCAGTAATGATTAGTTGACAAAAATCCTTCTGCAAGGGAATTTGGCTTTTGAGGAATTGTCTTTTTGTAGTCAGAAAATGCATAAAATTGGCAGGATCCACCTTCACAGATGCATATTTTTTACTGCTTTTAATTAATATAAAACATGTAATCATGAATCAGTAAATAGCAAAACACAATTTTTAGTCCCATCTGTGTGTGTGTGTGTGTGTGTGTGTGTGTGTGTGTGTGTGTGTGTAACAACGTCTGTATAGTGCATGCACACTGTACATTTGTTCAGGGCTTTTGACTGTGTGTCTTTAGATGTTTGTCTGCATGGTTGTGATGAGGGAGATGTTGGAGTAGCTGTTCTTTTAAGGAGACTGGGTGTCGTCTGGTCAAGCTATTTAAAGATATCAATCGCAATCCCTCACACACATGCACGCAGAATACACACTGAGGCACGCAGACTGAGACAAAAAAAAAGGCAGGTGCAAAAATAGTAATACAAAAAAGGATGAGGCTGACAGAAAGATATAAAGTGATATTTAAGATATTTTTAACACTCAGACCCAACCAGACAGATTCATGTGGCTCACACTAATCCCTCACACACACAGACACACGCACACACGCACATGCACACGCACACACACACACACACACACACACACACACACACACACACACACACACACACACACACACACACACACACACACACACACACACACACTCTCAATCCAATCACAGATACAAACTCTTACATCTAGACAGCCACACGCAGGGACACATTTCAAGTCAGTCTCACACGTCACTCTGGGGTCATGTGGGGGAAACTAAAGAGATAGGACCTTTGGGAAGGAAGAGGAGAGAGCACACACCTTCAGTGTAAGAGGCAAACGGCTCGGGCTCCAGAGAAAGGGTGGTGATGTCGGAGCACAGGACCTGGATGGGGCTCAACATCCTGGGGGAGGACTCCAGGGTGGAGAGGGGTGGACAGGATGGGCGCAGCTCTTCAGGCTATAGCCAGGAGCAGCCCTGCAAGAGGAGCAAGGACGGAAGGGAGGAGGAAAGGAGGGAGCAGGGCAACAAGGAGGAGCAGAGGGGAAGGGAGGAGCGGGGAGGGGTGGGTTAAGGGTAGGGACTGAGTTACTGCATCACCACTGTTGGCCATGAGTACTCACCAGAGAAAAAAAAGTGATGGATCGGATGTATGATGAAGATATGATACTTTTGTATCTATACAACATGATGTGTTGACATGTTGGGTTTGGCAGGAAGACAAGCAAAACATGCAGGATGGACAGAGATAGACAGAGCCTCAGAGTGTCTTGATTGGCCATTTTTAAATGACAATCTTCACAAGTCTCCTCGGGTTATTTTTATTTTTGATAAGTCGCACACACAATTGTGTAATAAAAGCTCAGTGCAATTTGAATTTGTGTGAAAACCAGGACAATAAACGAAATGCAGACGAGCTCGTAAATAATCATGTCTAAGATGTTGCTTTTAGTGTCCCTTAAACCCTTAGATTTATTGACACATATCTGTTGTGTTTACAGAGGCTATGATACCAAGAGTCTGTCTGAAAGCATCCCTTGTTTTTCCTACTTTTACATTGAGTGCCCAGTGACATGTTTGTTTCAAGAGGTTCTGATTCAAAGTTGTTGTTTTTTTTCATTTATTTTTGGGCTTTTTCTGCCTTTATTTGAGAGATAGGACAGTGGATAGAGTCAGAAATCAGGGAGAGAGAGAGAGTGGGGAACGACATGCATGAAAGGAGCTACAGGTTGGATTTGAACCTGGGCCGCCTGCTTGGAAGACTACAGCTTCCATACACTAACCACTGCGCCACCAGCGCCCCCAAAGTTTGTTGTTTTGAGTTTTTTGGGGGTTTTTTTAGCTCCTATCGCAGCAGGATTGCTCCTCTCTACAGTTAATTGAGAAAACCTAAACCTCTGAGGTTATGAAACCTTACAGAATGAACTAGATTCTGTCAAAAACATAGCAACCCAACAACAAGATGTTTCCTTATCCCCAGTAAGTATTGCTCCTTTTTGTAGATGATACCCATTCACAGTGAGGTTACAAAGCATGAATACATTATAGATTGGAATAGGTCAAAACTTCTTTACTAATCTGCCTAAAATATCAAAAGTTTGAAGTTTGATTTGATAATAATAAAACACTCCTATTTTATTATTCATCCATCCATCCTTAAAGCATATGAGACTCCAGTCATAAGATTTTGAGTCGAGCAAAAGGTGTGAGAGGGGGGGAATAAGAGATAAAGGGAAGGGAGGGAAGCTGAGGAAGTGGGAGGTTGAGCATGACTCCCCTGTAGGAGCTAAAGGACAGGGGAATCCCCACGGGGAGATTTACAGACACACTGTTATGTATGCACACGCACATAAACAGACAAAACCCCTGCAGACACCCATACACACATAGATCTGTACAAATAAAACAGACAAATGAATATGAATGCAACAAAACAAAATGAACAAAGGTGAAGACACGTCAATATACAGCCATGTATAAAATCTCACTATTTCTGTCTGTCTCTTTAACACACATATACACACACACACACACACACACACACACACACACACACACACACACACACACACACACACACACACAGACACACACACACACACAGACACACACACACACACACACACACACACTCTCACACACACACATAAAAAGAGGCACATTGTGTTTGAGCAGCCTTCAGAACACTGTTGGATAATTGTTTGGCATACGTGCCACTTCAGCACTGGGCAATGCTGCGAGTCGCATTAGCAGACTGATGGGGAAATACTGAAAGGGGGAGGCAGTGGGGGATGGAAGTGGGGAGTAGGACGGAGGGTGGGGGATGAACATGGAGGAAAAGGTGTAGGGGGGTTGTGGATGATGTAGAAGAAGGAGCAGGTAATGAAATTGCTGTGTTTATTTGTAACAGAAAATGATCCGCTTTTCTGGTTAGGGAGGGATTATTGCATGATTGATTTTTAGAACACAATCAGTAGTTGTGTCTCTTTTCAGGACGCCCATGTGTTGCACGGCCGTTTCGAAACAACAGGGTTCAGTGGTGTGTTCACCTTGGTGTGAGCTCATCAGCAATTCACCCTGACTAATGTCTGCGTCTGCCTGAGATGTGCGGAATAATTAATACTGCCTGTATTGGTGGGTGGAGACGACCTGTCAATCATATTGGCCAAGCATGAAAAGCAGCATGTTTATCATCATGGACTGTTGCCATGGCAATAATGGATGGCTGGTGATGGATGTCAAGACGGATTTTCAGCCACTATTTCATAAAAATCCTTTTGTGAAATGGACAAAGGCACAATGGGAAATACTGTAAGTCTAAGAGAAGATATACACAGACTGAGACAAACAAAGACAAACACTCACACACACACACATATATTCTTGAATCCTTTCATCAGTACAATATGTTGAACACAAACAGAAGCAGTTACACAATCAACAGGCGGTACTACAGCTCTCCCCCTGACTACAGTGTGTGCTCCTGTGTGAAGGAAGTGATATAACAGCAAAAGAAACAGAAAGTTTAATCCCCCTTCCACAGTGATGCAAGGATCCCAAATGAGCTCAAAGCACGTTCATGACCCCCACATGATAATCCACAGAGGCGTGGCAAACAATGAGCTGAGTCCAAGAAACAGATTGAGGACAGACTGACAGGGATGCTCGTGTGCAGGTGAGATTAGTGGTGTTATTGAGATTAGCAGGAGGGGAGGTTATCCAGGGTTATAATCCATCTGTTATAGAACACAAACCAAAGAGAATACCTATTTTATAACGTGTGTGCTGGACTTTTTAAGATACCCCCTTGTCAGATGTGATACTCTATAAATACAATATGAATCCTACACCTGTTCTATTCAAAAGGACAATGCAAAAGAGAGTTCCTGTTCGCGACTATATTTCTGGCATCTTTTTCTTGGTATTGATACAGAGAAAAATACCTTTCTCCCATTGTCTGTATCTGACATGCAGACACAAACAGACACACATATATATCTATATATATATATATATAGATATAGATATATATAGATATATATAGATATATATATAGATATATATATATAGATAGATATATACACGCTTTCAGACCCAGGTCAGATCAATTATTCCCTGCAGTGTAACAAAAAGCTGTGTTACACAAGACAGCAAAGTGATTACAAAAGCAAAAAAAAAACAAAAAAAACATAAAGGTCCTGGAAGATTAAATGATATAAGAAAAAGAAAAAAAAAACAGTACAAGAGGAGGGATTCAAGAGATGAAAACTTGCCGAATACAGTTAAATTTAGCAGAGAGGAGGATTGTACTCCCTAGTTCTTGTTGCTGTCTGAACAACACAGAGCTTAAAGAAGATTAGGATGTTTCCTGAGCTTGTTTAATCTAACAGGCTAACTAAGCATATACACACTTCCACTCACATGCCAGAACTCTTAACTCACATACAAGGACAAGGGCAGACTTTAAAACCTGCTTATGAAAACACAGAACCGTGCAGCCTCCTTTTTCGGGTCTTCTTACCTTCAGTCACATAGTTGTGGTCGGGGAGGAAGCCGCGGTGGTTGAGCGTCGGGTTGGCGTCAGTGTCTTCGCCCCATCAGCAGGGCTGGGGAGAGCGCCCGTTCCGGTGGGGCAGCGTGGTGGTGGCAGATCGGCGGTGGAGGGGGTGGTGGTTGGGATGCTGGCCAGCCAAGAGCCCATAATGCTGCTCGCTGATGCCTCCTCAGCACAGGCGCGTAGAGCCGTCCATCCTATCCTTTAAATGTGGATGAGGGGCAGGTAAGGAGGGGAGTGGGCCGGTCCCGGAGGAGGGGCTGGTGCACTTAAAGAGTCCACAGAACTGTTTCAGAGAGCACGATGATGACCTGCAGGAGGATGTTTATTATAAATAAGTTGAAAAATGCCAAGCGAGTTTGGTTTTCATTCCAAGAGCTCTGACACATCCCCTGTGAGGGAGGACAAATCCACTCCGCAGCTGCTGAGTCCAGGTGTGGCCAGAGCAATTCTTCTCTCTCACAAACACACACAACATACAAGACCGTGTTCTCTGTGTCATGGGTAAAGTCTCTAGTTTTTAATGGATGCTCCAAAAGAAGAGAGGAGATTAGGAGGAGAAGGAGGAGAGTGGGGGGAGGGTGGAGAGGGATGAGCAAGAGCCCCTGGTTGATGTATCTGCAGTGCTGCTGCTTCTGCAGTAAACTCACACAAGCATGGACACACACACACACACACACACACACACACACACACATAAGCAGCAAGGCAAATATACGCACTCACCTACACACTCTGCAGCTTTTGGGTCAGGTACTCCTCGGTGGATCCTCCATGAATAACCTCTCTGTCCTTCTCAGTGGGTTACTGTCTCTTTGGTTTCTCGGCTCATCCAGAGCAAGGAGGGAAAATCCTGCTGGCTTTGCGTTCTGCAGCAGCCTGTGCTCTGGCGTCTGTATGAAAGCCAGAGTGAGAGGTAGAGAGAGGGGGAGGGAGAGTGTGTGAGAGAGAGAGAGAGAGAGAGAGAGAGAGAGAGAGAGGATCTGTCCTGCTGCGCTGGTACGTGCGAGATGCATCAGAGCAGGACCCGCCCACTTCTCTGTGCAGCCAATCATCAAAAAGCTGAGATGTGCCTGACCACCACTGACTGCAGGTGATTAGACCTGATGAAGAAGCAGAGAGGGACAGAGGAGTGGGCAGCTCAAGCGGAAGGGTCTTATAAGGCTGGGACTGATGGGAAGGAAAGCAGCGAGAGAAGGAGAGAGGATGAGAAGAGGACTGTTTTACTTGACTGAGTGCTACGAACCAAAACAGTGACGACTAGAGGATTCACCTCGAGTCATAATTCAATTAGCACGGAACACACACACACTCAGTAAGACAGTTCATATTACGTAGAGATTTATTTTTATTGCATAGAATGTAGGGCTGTTGGTGAATTCAATTACTGTTTTTCAAGCTAAAGTTGTTTAACATCATGATATGATCTTATCAAGTAGAGCTGAGATAACAGTCTGCAGCTTTCATATTATAGAAAAGATATGACAAGGTACTGATGTTCTCATCCAACTACAGTTCACTTTTTAAAAAATGTTTAAGTATTCAAATTTTTCTGAAAATATATTATTTACTATTTAATCCAAGTCTATTTTACACATTTAAGAGAACAGCACGACCAAATTCATGAACACATGAACAAACTTGAGACACAGCTGGATTTTTTTTAATTATTCATTTATGTATGAGTCTTATTTATAGCAGGGATTTTATTAAGACTTCAGTCTCTAAGAGGTATGCATTTCTCCTTTTCAAGACAATCAAATCATTATTTTGATTCTCAGGCTACACGCAAATACAGAGATCATTCTGTTATAAAGAAAACACGATAAGATAAGTCTTATCTTATCTTAGAGATAAGAAAAAGATCATATAAGATAGACTTTATTTATACCCCATTGGGAGGAATGCACTTGTTACAGCAGCTCCAAGTTATGGACAAAAGAAATCAAATGATAGAGGACAAAAAAAAGCAAAAAAAAAAAAAGAAACTAAGTAGTAATCATTTATATGTACAGTATAATTTTTGTTCGCTTCTTTACAGAAAAATTGCACAAGGTTGATATCAACAATGTTAAACAATGTGAAGCATTGTTGATATGGTAGGTGACTGGCTGCAAATATCAGTGTAATAAAACGTTCTTTTGAATGAGATAAACATTTTCATCATGTCTCCGAGCCTACAAGAAATCAAAGATGACAACTGACTGTATAGAGAAATACTTAAATTCACACACCACAACACATAGAGACGCTTCATTCAGCGTGGCAGCAGAGGGAGAGAGAGGGAGGGGGGTGTCTGCCACTGACAGTTGGTGCCATCACTGGTGCTGGCTGTCTGCCACCAGGCTTTGAACCCCCCCCCCCCCCCCCCCCACAGCAGGGAACAAGAAGAGCTGGTTATCAGACTTACCCCTAGACTGCCAGCATCATCTTCCCCTTATCCACTTCTTACCAATGATGGGCAAGGCTCCACACAACACTGCCATATCTGCCCTACTAACTGCCCCCCACCAGCCTAACATCCACCACAAAGCCCCCCCAGGCCCACCCACTGTTTCCCATATAGCCACTGTTCGACCTGCAGCTCTCCACCCATTCACCCCAACCATATGCCACCCACTGGTTAAATCTATAAAACCATAAGGTTTGATGTTTAGCTACTGAGGGTCCTGACTGTGTAAGATTTAACCCTTTTGTCAAAACCAAAACAGAGAGAAAAGGTGGGGGGAAAGGCTAAGAATGTTTAATTGTTTTCAGTATACTTCTAACCACATTTATAGATATAAATGGACTAAAAAACACATTTGGAGTCATTTATAGGTCTAATGATTTTGTAGGGCTGTGTAGTTTAAAGGCAAAGGCGTTAGTCCATTAAAACAATTAATCTTTCAATTTCATAATAAATTAAGAATTTAAGTCATTTATAAAGAAAGAACCACCAAAAAAAATAGCTGATTAAAACTTCTCAAATATGTTCATATGCTTCTTTTAGTCTGTTATATCGGTTATATCACTCTCAGTGTAAATGCAATGACTTTTGGTTTGGTGCCTTTGTTCACTACTTGCAATTTAACAGGTTTTGGACACGGATAAAGTAAAACAACGACTTGACTTATTTCGATAAAAATGATCGATAGAGATTGTCTGAAGGCTGTAATATTTTGTTTTGTAGCAAAACCAATTAAATACATAGGACATGAGAGGTCTATAAAAATGTAAGGCTATAACAACCTTGTAATTGGGCCACCATACCAAGACGACACGTTTTCAAACCATCAATAATGCTTCCAGCAATAACAAAGAGGTCCAGATCGAAACACATTAACTGTAGTGGGTCTAAAATGATAAATGAACCCCTTCAGGTTCACCCCCCTTCCGTTCATTTCATGAACTTTTATTTGACTGGTAACCTAATGAACAACTTCATGTGTGACTTTTGTGATTAGCATTTAACATATTGTAGAAGTTCAGCTCAAAAGAGCTAAACGGCTGCAGTTTGTGTTTGTGATACACACGGCTAATGTGTTGCCTAGCTAAAATTAGCTAAATTATGAATATATCTTAGTTCTGGCTCGTCTCCCCCGGTCCATAAAAAGGTGAGACGTCTTCGCCAGCTAGCACATATACAGTGTAGGCTACAGTGTTCAGCTTGTTAAAGGAAAACTGTCTGCTAGGAAGAAATCATGGTTAAAGAAAAGAGAATGAGAATAGACGTAAACTTTGTATTTACAGAGTGAAGAAACAAAGCAACAAGCTGTGACTAGTTAAAAACCTCCACCAAGCAGGACTAGATGAGAATTCTTGTGTTTTTGGAAAGACATGACGGTTATGTGCTAGCCACAAGTCATTTTCCACAAAAGTACCAAACCCATCGATTTTTTGAAATTTTAGACCAAAGAACACAATATTAATTCAGGAAAAAAAAATAGGTGTAACACTTTTATATTTTTGGGATTTATCTGTTTGTTAAAATCATATAATATAATAAAGTGCTCCCAGAAAAGTACAACACAGAAAAGTGAACATATAGGCCTACAGATAGTGATGAACAGCTGATTACACCAAGTGAACAAAACCAGGCATGCAGCAGGTTTGTCTTTATGCAGTAAATCTAGTTCAGCTTGTCCTTGTTAACCTATCATGTCTGACCCTGAAAGCAGTCTCAGGTCCCCCATGGTGACTGTTCAGCCGTGAAGGCTTGGCCTTGGACTGGTCCCGTTACCTTGGTGACATTGGAGCATGACCACCCACCATCCACTGTGTCCCATGTGTCCTCCTGGGCTAAACCTGAGCTGCATTGTGTCCCCACATAATCTTCCTCAAGAGAGATGGTGAGAAGAGAACACTGTTGGAAAATCTTGCATTAGTGATTCAGGGTTAGGGTTAGCGAGACATCCAAGTTATCTAAGTCTTTCATTGGTTGAGGAAAACATGTGTCCTGTTTCCTGTAGTCTGGGTTATCTGTTGAAAACTTAAGGATAAAACAGAAAATTCCAAAAAGATTTAAAGCTCTTAAATTGATGATTAATGTTTTGATGATTTTTTTATTTTTATTTTTTTAATTAAAACAGTCATGTTGTCAACTCAACATAAGACAAAAACAAACACTCTTTGGTAAAATCAAAGCAATCTTACCATCTTTTATTTTTTGTGATAAAAAATAAGGTTATATTCTAAAGAAGGTATCAACCCAAATATCTCTTTAGGTAATATGCAAGAAAACCTTTTGGCTTTCAATGTAGACTGACTTTTAAGGGTTTCAAATTAAGTTTACCCCAATGTTTGATCATGTGGAATTATTGTCATAAAATTCCCAAATAGACAAAATAACATTTCAAAATGATTAGCCAAAATACAAGTAGCATTAGATTCAAAATACTAATTATCGCTCTCTTCGCTGTGTGTAAGAAGTAGAATCTCTGGTACAATATGACACAGATAAATACATTCCCCTATTTTGAGATTCAAACACATTTCATCCAGCCGACATGATAACGATCAGCATCATTCATCAGAAGCCCCGAAGTGTCCAATCAGATGCAGCAATGCTTGTGAGTGTGTGTCTCTGTTGACCTGGTGCTTCTCTCCCATCCCACCCCCACTCTAACTTCCAGACACAGCCAGGGTTGCTTAGCAACCAAAGGGTGGGCTTTTGGAGAACACACACTAATTTGTGCAGACACACTCACAAACACACACACACACACACACACACACACACACACACACACACACACACACACACACACACACACACACACACACACACACACACACACACACACACACACACACACACACACACACACACACACACACACACACACACACACACAAACTCTGAAAAGGGAATATAATTTAGTCCCACTCCATCACGCTTTATGACCCCCAAAATGTGAAGAAAAAAAACCAGTCTCAATTCAACCCAGTGACTGGGGCACTCTGACCACTACCCACACACATGCAAACATGTACACACAAAATCCACTTCATCCACAAAATCACTTTATCATTTGTAATTGTGACTGATTACGATTGAATTTAAGCCGGCAGCCATGAAATCAGCATTTCCAACAGACAAAGAGCTTAAGAAGATGAAAGTTAAAAGCTCTGCAGCATCTCTCCAGTCTAACACTATTAGCACATTAAGTGAGTGCTTAAATATAGTCAGCAGACGATGGATCAACTCAGTGCCATGAGCAAAGGCAGCAGTGTAATCCCCTAAAGGGAGGTTTCACTACAGTAATGGCTACCCGCATGAAACCACGGACCCTGGGGAGTGGTGGGACTGTGTAGATTATGAGCCGCCTCGGGGCGACACTAAACTCCTTATAGCACAGACACACAAGCACACACACAGAAAAAGAAGCTGGTAGATGTAGACAAATGAATACAACCATAACGATCATGAGGAAAAACACACATAGGGCATGCTTAAAAGTGAAAAAGATCAAGTCAGAGAGGTGGATGGGTATAAAAACACAGAAGTATGATGTGACTGATTACTCTTAGGTCTCCAGGTGAGTCGGGATAAAATCTCCCCTCTTTTTGTATGACATGTTTTGGAAAAGAGGGGTGTCAGGGGGATACATTTGGAGGATTATGGGACGGTGATGGAAAGACTCTATAGGCAGCAGAGTTGGAGATGGCAGGAGGTTCAGTATGTGTGTTTTTTCTGGTAATTTAAAACCTCAGGGGTAAGAGAAAGACACAGAAATTTGGTGACATAAAAAGTAAAGCACAAATGATAGTCTGATACCTGCTAGAGGACACAATGATAACACTGTGGCCTGGTGATAAACAACGGCTGATACATTTTAGTTCTGAAAAGGGATGCTGTTATTATTATAAGAATGTGAATGTAACACACTAGTCAAATCACCAGAGGGCAAAAATTGATTAAACAACTTTTTTTTTTTTTTTTTACATACTGTTAAGCATCTACACTGTATTTAAGGCATTGCTGTGCACAGTCCTCCCAGCCAGGTCAACTGCTCATTTTCCTTTCTCCCCCTGGGAAAAGCTGCTTACAACAGAAAGAAGATTACATATAACCAAATATAAAATAAGTCAATTCTGTAAAGCCTATTTGACCCTTGCCTGTGAATACACACACAAAAACCTATTTTGGGATCCTAATCTGCATATAGATTTGGGTTTTTTATCTGACCCAACACTTTCATCCGTGTATAAATACAGTACTCAGACAGTACATTCACCCAAATGGGCTGCAAACGCCTGCAGCTTTTCTCAGTGGGGATTCAATCCTCTCACATTTACAGTAGTTCTCTCGCTCTCTCCGAGACACACACACACACACGCACACACACACGCACACGCACACGCACACACGCACACACAGAACTTACTCATGAATCCATAAATATAAAATTCTATAAGCACATCCATTCTTATTGATGTTTACCGTCTCTCTTTTTGGTATTAGAGCTGATGCAGGGTGGGCCTTCAGTTGTATGCTCTTAATATATTTCTATATCTCCTCCACAGGGAGAGACACACAGGTGACCCTTGGGGGGGAGGGGAGGTCACTACACACAATGTAATCTTTTAGTTTAAAATACAAAACACAACAAGGACTCATCAGCCAGGGGTATACACAGCTTGGAAAAACCTGCTCAGCAGATGAGACTGTGCATGAAAGTGAGAGAGAGTGAGAGACAAATGTCTCTTTACGCCAATACTTCAACTTTCAGCATTTATTTCACACAGGTTTTTGTGTTGATGATTGAAAACATATTCTAATCTTATTTGACGCTTCAATTCTTTCATTAAAACAATGCGCACATACAGTAACAGAGCTTAACATGTTATTGTAAATAACTCCTTGTTACTAACAGACACAACACAAACTCAGGCAAAGTCAGTGGATTTCCAACATAGCAAACCAAAGACTGGTATTTGATTTTGCTAAGCACAGGCTTACAGACCACGGCCATGAGAAATGTGCCATGATGACACAAGTGCAAACATCAGTAAAAAAAGATCTGACAATATAGGGCACCCGGTAAAACAAGCAGAGAGTGACACTATCAAAAATACATTTGCAATTCTGTCCAAAGCATTTCAATGCATGCTGTTAGTTGACAGTGCCCCCTGGTGTTTGGTTGAGAGTGATGCCAAACATAATGGGGTACATTGCATTGATGGGTCAGTCAGATGAGATTTTATTTTTGCACACATGTACAGAATTTTATTTCACATTGCAAAAAGAGGATGTAAATAAAAGCACAGCTCGTCTGTGACGACATAGTTATGGACTTGTAGCATCAAATTTTTTCCATTTTACAACACAGAACAAAAGTTTGAAGAGAATTGCCCACATGACGTGAGAGTCGAGCTATCCTACCTCTGCATGCCACGTGTCTAAATCTAATACAAACTATACTGTCTTTAATATGTTGTTTCTTAACTTTAAAAAGATAAAAATAACTTAAATCGGTTAGGAAAAGACATTGTGCACATGAGGTCATCCTTGAGAAAAATAGACAGTATTTCTTATTTTTGGGATAAATACAAGGTGTGCTTACTTAGTGGTAATGAACTGAATTTGAATATAAATTAAACAACTCAATCTAATTTAATTTTAATTTTAATTTCCTTTGACCATGTATCTCATTAATATAAAACACTAATGGTGGTAAAAGATTGCACCAAAACAACTTTTTAATTTACCAACAAAAAAAATGAAAGCAAAACCTTCAATTACTCACTTGCGTGTTCTGCAAATGAGTTTCTGTGTGATATAAAAGGCAATCCTGAAAAAACTTCTGAGGGTGTATTTAGCAAACTTAGTAAGTGCAGGCCAATCATTTTCAATCCTTCAGATGGGATTCTGGCCCAGGTCGGGCTCCTGCTGATCGTCTATGTAATAGGGATCACCTTGATGGACTCTGTGATTGTGCACTCTCAAGTTCCCCCTGTGTGCAAATCTCTTTCCACACTCTGTGCATGCAAAGGGTCTCTTCCCCATGTGAACGTCCCGTTGGTGGGCTCTCAAGTTTCCGCTGCGGGCAAAGCGTTTACCGCACTGAGCGCAGCCGAAAGGCCGCTCCCCCGTGTGTGTGCGGGTGTGCACAGTAAGCTCGGAGGGAGTGAGGAAGCTCTTTTCACAAAACTGACAGGGATGCAGTCGGACTCCTGTGTGGCGTAAAAGGTGTCTGCGCTGGTGGGAGGGGTAGGTGAAACACTTGGTACAATACGGACAGGTGTAGGGTCGCCCATTCCCCCCGCTAAGAGCTGCAGGGTGACTCAGAGTGTTTGCGTGTCGTAGCGTGAGCAGCTGTGAATTGGATTGTGATCGAAGAGGGTCTCTATTGGCAAAAGTTGTGACCCGCCGAGTGTGACTGATGGGGCATCTACCCCCTGTGTCTTCTCTTGGTCTCCATGATGATTCGCTAGAAGGTGTTTGTGGTTGAACCTGCCGTGCCCCTCTTATCACCACACCTGGACCCTGCACTGACGTCTGATTGGAGTTATGGTTCTCAGGTTCCTGGTCCATGAAGGGAAAAGAGCTTTCATCATCCTCGTTGCTGGTCTCATCAGAGCCGAAACCAGGTCTGTAGCTGTGTGCGTCTGTGCCAGCGCTGCTGCCAGCTGTGCCAGAGCAGCTGGTTCCGTGTGCCTGCATACTCTCCAGACCACCTCGAGAGGTGTCAAGCCCTGGCAACCACTCCCCTGGTTGAGCTAGGTCTGGGTCAGTCCCTGGGGAGCATCGTCCACTTTGAGAGATGGAGAGAAAAGGGGCGGATACTTGATCCTCAAGGGGTCGGTGGTCTGTGCTTTGACTGCCCTGCTTCCATTGAGACACTGCAAAATAGTGGGGGATACCCTTACATTAAAAAAAAGACATGGGTCATCTTGTATTTGAACAACTAAATAGTGAATAGCAGAAAAGGTTTGTCGTGACATCTTACATTTGGCCTTGGCTTGCAGGGTATCTATCTGCCTCTGATCCACAGCAGAAAGGCTACCCTCAGGTGCTTGAACTGCAACCGACTCAAGGTTAGGCCGCGATCCAGCTCGCTAAGAAGATGTAGAGAAGGACAAATCAGTAAGATACAGATATGTCAAAAGCTGTGCAAAATGTCACTTCATGGTAGTAATTCAGAAATCATTAAAGCTTTACTTCAGCCAAGTTTGAATCAAGGAGAGAGTCAAGGACACATTCTGACCTCATTTTTGACTGAAGCTCCATCCTGGCCTGTGACCTCCTCTTTCAGCACACTGTGTCTGAGTCCATTTACTGGGACTGAATGAGAGGATGAATCCTTTCCCACATTAAGTCCTATGCAAGAAAGAAGTATAGGTGGTCAGTGAAGTTCAACATGATACACAACTACTGACAAAAAGGGAAAAATCTAAATGCAAGTCAGCCACAACAGACACAATGACAGATTAGTCTACATGGTAATATTTACAAGGTTGAATATAAACAATAATCTACGTTACCTGATGTTGTTAGGCTCTGCTGTCTCGAGCTTGCCTCCTTGTCGCCCGATGACAAATCCCCCTCCTCGCTGCCTCCACCCTTCACCTTCGGCCTCCTCTCCACCTTCTGCAGCTTGCCTCTGAGGATGGAGATCTCTTGTGTTTTTTGAGCCAGCTCCGCCTGCTGTTCAATCAGGCTGCTCTCAAAGATCTTGGCGATCTCACACACAGCAGCTGCCAGCAGGGAATCCATGACAGTAGCCAGCTGTGCGTGGAAAGCACCCCTTACACACTCCATTGTCCTCTTACGTCGGCGTTTTAATCGCAAAAAAAAAGTGATTTACACCAATGTTTTCCTGTAGTGGCAGATGCAGGACGGCGTGGTTACTCCATTCAATAACTGCTTTAAGATGCTGCCACGCTACATTTGCATTAGACACATATCAAAGCAATTCGCATGTAATACATCTTATCGTGACGTGTTCGTGAATATTACCGCTGAAGTGAGCTAACATGTAAACAGAACAAACCTATGAGACGTAGCCTGTAGCTGCTAGCCCATCGAGCTACCGGAGTAAATTAACGTTAACAGCCAAATATATCGGTCGGTAAAAGCCAGAGCATGAAAGCCAGAGTACGAATCTCTGATAGTTACTCTCTGACATCATTAATTACATTAAATACTTCGGTTACATTCATAACTGCGGCGCCCAGTCGTCCTGCTGCTGCTGCTGCTTGCTTGCTGGTTGGCATCTGGGAATGTGAGCAATGCAAGTCTCGCGATAACGAGGCAAACGCGTTCAGTTCCTGCAGGTCCAAAAGAAACTTAAGTTGTATGAACAAACCATAGACTGTAAAAAGATTTACAGTCTATGACACAAACGGGCAGGCTTACATTTTTAATGATTTGTAATAATCTACATCAACATTATAAACACATTGCTGTAATTTAAAAAAAAGAAGTCAAGGTATGTAATTGCAGGTTTTATTGGAATGGTAAAAATGTTAATCTAGCAACGTAATTGTAACAGAAAAAAGTAAACTCGTTAGTAAGATCTCTTCTTTTTTGGTCAGGCAGATCTATTTAAAAAAAAAAAAAGCAGTTAAAACTAATTAATATTTAAAAAATTCAAAGCATTAGATTAAAAAAAAGCAAGAAAACTTTCGGTGTTTTCAGTTATCATGACGTTACAATAGAGATTTTACTTTGCAGCTATTTACAAATTGTGTAGCAAAAAGTCAACACTACAAAGCTGGTACCACAAGTCTGACTCCACAACCAGGCACAGCACCTCAAACTCGTGCTAAAAAACCTGTACACCTAACTTGGCTGAAGGAAAACAAAAATGGTCAACTCATTCCAAGTGGACCAAACTGTATTCAAATCAAAAAAAGTAGACAAAATCTTCGGGACAATTTGACATTAACTTGAACTCAATACAAAAACCACGATGAAGAATTTGGAAGTATACCTTTTACAGATTTTAACAAGTAGAGATTTTGTAATTTTGTCTATATCATGTTAGCTGTTCTTAAAAAAAAAAAGAAAGAAAGACATAACTGCAGTCAAATTGGTTGTCATAGTGGTCTTATGTGATTTTCTCGATATTGTGGAGAAGTCTCTTGACAAAGTAGATTAACTGTGGAAGTCCTTTACTTATGTAAACGCTTTACATGGCTCTTGAGGCGTTTTGCAGTTGTGTATTTTTTCCCACAAATCTTACAGCAGTGAGGTCGATCCTTGTGAACTTTCAACATATGCTTATCGTACATTTCTTTTCCTGAGAATTTCTCCCCACACTTGCTACACTGGTTACTTGACTGAGTACACGATTTTTGGTGCGTGGAGAGCTGTCCGCGAAAACGAAACCTTTTGTGACACTTGACACACTTGAAGGGCTTCTCTCCTGTGTGGATGCGGTAGTGTTCTATCAACAGGTATTTGTTTTTTTTCACCTGCAAACACACATTGCAGGTGTAACCGTTTGGGTTGTATGTGCCACAGGCTTCCCAGCCGCGACTCCCATAAGAACCCGTCCCTTTGACCTTGGGTTTTCTCTCAACATTAACGTGGTTGGTTGGTACACTCGATTCTTTCTTTGCAGAAATCGATTCCTCAGTGGCCTCTACAGGCTTAGTCCATGAAAGGTCCACGTTTAAGTCCTCAGAGTTCACTTCCATTTTGTGGAGTCTCGCCATGTGGAGTTTAAGGAACTGGTTTACTCGGAATTTCCTTGAGCAAATGCTGCAAGTGAATGGCTTCTCACCAGTATGAATACGCATGTGCTCCTGGAGCTTGAAATGCCATTTGAACTTTGCATTACAATGTAAACAGGAGTACTGTTTGATGGGTTGATCCTTCTCCCCAGAGGAATCACTGTGGTTTGAAGTGGAGGCTGTGCTGTCTTTCTTCGTTATCACTGTTTTCTTGATTGGTGGGGACTCTTTATTGCTAAGCTCAGGGACTTGAGCGACAGAAGACTGTGCTTTTTTTGCCATCATTTTCTGGAATTTAGCACAATTTGGTTTGTGATACTTGAGTGCACTCGGAGAGGCAAACACTGTTTTGCAACCCTTGCACCACTTGTGAAACCGTACATGCACATTTCGGCCAAAGGGTGAATCAAATGCCTTCTTACAATACTTGCAGCTGTACATTTCTTTACCTTCCTCTACTACTGTCTCTTTTCCTGGAGGGTTAGACTTAGTTACTGCAATTCCCTTATCCTCGCTTTTCCTCTTTGATGTAGTTTCTTGCGGCCTTGGTTTTCTTCCTCTTTTTTTGGGAACTTGAACAACCGCTTGAGTATTTTCTTGCAGCGGTACGTTGATGTCTTCGCTTACTCTAGTACGCCGAACTCCTTGGTCACGCCTTAGCAAATTATTGCCCAAGGTTTGATTGTTCTTGTCGTTTAATGAGGAATCTGTAGGAAAGAAAAAAAGAAAAGGCCTAAATGTTAACTATAAACATGTGAAAATGATGAGGAGAAATAAAGACAATGTAACAAAAGTCTTACTTGTAGAACATGTATTTAGTTGGAATAAATAAAAATGAGAGGTGTTTTCTGCATAACTGAGTAATAGAAATACAAATTAAAAGTGTAATATTGCAGATCTCTCTCATATATCCTTCATCCCTTCAGAGCAATGATTCGTCATTATGAAGCACATGAGTAGTGCAGTGCTTGACTTTGACAGTGATGTAAGGTTAGATGTCAATACAATGAAGAAAATAAAACTTGTCGCCTCTGGCATTTAACCCCTAATATTCTAAACATTAACATGTGTTGCCATAAAGTTTCTTTAAAATGTAGCTTTGTTTGCTATGTGCTAAATAAAGTAAAACTAAAGTTCTTGAGGAACATGATGAGATTTCAGTACATAAAGAATTGGCCCAGATCAATTTGCGCTTGTGCAACAATCAAATTCAGGAATGTCAGATTTCAAGCATTTAAATTGTCATTTTTACAACAACAATCTGTCTGATATCAGCTGAGATTACAGGCTCATAAGTCTGTTAATACAAACAGTGCATGCAGTCTGTACAAACTGCCTGTAAACATACATGTGACATTCACACATAATGTCAGCTTGATTATCAAGGCAGACATTCATTTGAGAGAGGCCACTTTGAAATGTGGGTACTTCTGTTATCAGCTGCACCTCGAAAACGTTCCCCTAAGTGATATGCCACGGTTTCCTTGTGACTTCACCAAACATCAAGCAGTAAAATGTATTGAGAAAGGTGTGGCCCGATCCTTTACTCCCTCTACTTGTCTAATGGGAGTTAGAAAGATGCTTCCCAGTACAAAATAGCTGCCAGGTACCCAAAATGTTCACTTAGTTTTTGTCAGCCACTCCACACAGGAGTAAAAGAAGATTCAACCATAACCTGTGTTCTGTTAGAATGACAAGAGTAAGTCATCTCAGATATGGAAAACTAACTACCTGGGCAACTAAAATCAAACTATCTGAGTAAAGACACAACCAGTGTAAGTTCAGATGGAAACACTTTGTACACCAGCTCTTTCAATTTGGGATGACATAACATGATAGCCTTTGAATTTACTTTACAACTGGGTAAAGACAATGTTCATGTTTACAAATGAAGCCCAGGCAATCATGCGGTTACTACCTGTGAATTAAAATAGAACATAGAACATTATGTAACATTTTTGGAAAAAAAAAGAAAAGTGTGAATTAGCAGGAGCCACGCTCACCTCTCTTTGATCTTCTGAGACCTTTCGTTTGTGGGTGGGAGTCAATGTCATGGCTAGCCATCTAAAAATACAGAAGCTATAGATTACATCCCCAACACTGCAGAGAATAAGAACATTTGATGCATGCTTAAGCAAAAACCTGACATGTCTGGACTTGGTTCATATATTGAGTTTATCAGGACAAAATATCAGGCTGTCAATATCGAGCAAATCACTGCTTCAGCCTTTCCTGTAGAATGATGCACAAGAAGTTCTGCACATATTTCCAGTACATCAGTGTACATTTTTAACACTGTTCTGATCTCCGTACTATGGGCAATGCATACATCCAAGTGAACATTATTCTGTGCTAAAGCTTCATGATAAAGAAAATGACATGCAGGGCGCAAGGTTTTCCATAGTAGCTAGTAAAATTGCCTTTAGTTGTATATGATGCATAGGAGAAATTTTAGCATTTAAAAATTTGAATATATACTAATGTTAAAAATGATAAAGCATACAAATTCAAATGGGATTATAGAGTGGGGTTATATATCTACAGCCCGAGTTCAAACGGACAGTTAAGAGTTATCTTAGGCTGCATGCTTGGCGTATCAGGAACATAAGTATTCTGCCTTCAAATGGCAGTCTGTCAGCTGTATGATGCTAAGTTGGAATGCCAGCACATCCATATTTCTCGCACTGTTACACACCTCCTGCTTAATTGGAACGTGCCAAAGAGGAATAGACAGCTGGCGGAGTCTCACACTGGGACAACCCCCCTCTTCTTGCTTTGTCACGGTCTCGCAGCCCAAAGGAGCGCACCAGTCATCAGGTACTGCACAAAAGAATACAAGAGCACGAACATGACAATGCTGCACAAGAGAAATACAATAATGATGTATTTTTAAGCTCATCATTTAATCTGGTCTGCACACAGCTTGCTGTCCCCCTGCCATCATATGAACTAGTGATGATACTGGTTACTGTACCAGAGGATAAACAGAGGATGCAACGCTATCTCACTTCAAAATTACTTGTCGCATTTTGATGAAACTTAAGTATCCTTTTTAAGTTATTTTTCTCAAGAAACATCATACAAAACCAGTGTTACTGATATTTTTCAATCAGTGATGTATTGGTACAAAAACATATTTTTCAAAGTTACATTAGTTTAGAAATTCTGAGAAGGTGAAAAATTAAATTAAATTATTAACACTATTACGTACAGTAATAAACAGAGTGTATATCAACTCTGGTTATTAAACAAACAACGCAGACTAAGCTTTGTAACAATACATTTTTCGAAATGTTAAAGCAGCACAGGTTATAAAGATATTGACCACATGTGGACACTTTACCTTCAAAATCAATCTCAGAAACAACAGAGGTTTGCGCAGAGGCATTCAGAGTATCCTCCGGCTTATTTCGTATTTCACTTGTAGTATTATTCATCTCAGCTCTTTCGTCGCCTGCACACCCATTGTCTCTCAGTTTGATCTCAGCTCTCTGCAACTTCACTTTAAGTTGAACAATCTCTTCTCCTTTCTGTGCCAGCTCCAGCTGATGGTCATGTATGCT